CACCCCTTGATCTCAGTATAAATTTGGAAGTCAACAAAGGTCAACCAGTGGCTCAGTTGGAATATTCACGGATAATAGGGAGTCTGATGTACTTGACGAATTGTACACGACAGACTTGGCCTATCCGGTGAATAAGTTGAGCAGATTTACGAGCAATCCCAGTCATGAGCTCTGGAATGCTTTGAAAAGGGTACTTAAGTACTTGAGGTACACCCTTGAATACGGGCTCAAATACTCGATATATCCAGTCGTACTTGAAGGGTACTGTGATGCAAGCTGGATATCAGATTCGAGAGATTCTCGCTCCACTAGCGGATATGTTTTCTGTATTGGAGGAGGTGCAGTTTCGTGGAAATCCACAAAACAAACGTGTATAGCTCGGTCAATGATGGAATCAGAGTTCATCGCTTTAGATAAAGCTGGTGAAGAAGCCGAGTGGCTTAGAAATTTTTTATCTGATATTCCATGTTGGGATAAGACTTTGCCGCCTGTGATGATTCTCTGTGATAGCCAAGCTGCTATAGGTAGGCGCAAAGCAACTTGTATAACGGTAAGTCTAGACATATTCGTCGTGGACATAATACCGTACGTCAATTGATCACTAACGGTATTATTTCCATTGACTATGTGAAGTCTAAAGAAAATTTGGCTGATCCTTTGACGAAAGGATTGAATAGAGATCAATTGACAGTTTTGCTAGAGGGAATGGACTTTAAAATCCACAATGTAAAGAATGATCATAGTGGTAACCCTACCATGCTGAGTGGAGATCCCACGAACTTGGTTCAAAGGGATAACTAAGCTATGAAAATTCAGTTGAGCACTTGGAACATATGAATGTCCATAGCTATTCCCTAGAGCACTCCAAGTGCAAGATGACCTGTTGATTGTGGTGAGGGTAAGTCATGTGGACTTTTAATGAATCCCTAACCTTGTAAAGGTGGAGTATGACAGGATACTCTTGATAGGGAGGTCACCTATGTAAGTGTGAAGTGTGGGCCGCTTCAAATGTAAACACTTATGAATCCATTGTGTTGTCCATGGCCAAAACGGACACAACGATAGAACGGAATGGAGTTAAAGACTCTATTGTGTGAATATCATTGTCTCGGTGTACACTATGGAGGAATAGTTCAAGGCATTAAGTCCACTAGACCGCCAGTGCATCCGATGATGTTTACTAAGAAATGTTCAAAGCCAAAAGCTACCTTATCTGATGCAATAGAGTTTTGTGAGGATTGAGCACATTGTACATTTAATTTACACTCATGTGGGGGATTGTTGTTATTGAGTGTAAATTATTAATAATAATTGAGTAGTGCATTATGGAGTCAAATCATGTTGTCAGAAATTGATGGGTTGTCCACTATCCCTATTGCCCAACTAGTTGTCCTAAATTATTATAAAGGGGCGGCTGGATTTGTACAGATAATATATAATAATTGCAATTTGATTTGCAATGTATTCTTGATCAGTACCTCATTCCCTATAAATAGGCCTTCGGCCAAGATGAAAAATGCACAAAAGAAGAAGAGAAAAATAGAGGAAAGAAAGAGAAAGGAAAGAAAAGATAGATTTATGTCCAAATATCGGATATAAAAATATCAAAAGAGAGAAACAAGTGATATTTTTATTTGTTTTAAGATATCCCTTTTATTTTTAAGTGCTCAATTCTCGATTCCGTTCCCGTTCGCCGGAGCTCGTAAATCTGATGTGCTACAGATTTAGAGACATTTGCCGTTGTATCTTTGGGGAAGTTACGCCTGAACCGTTAGCTGCGACACGGGGCGTATTCTTCTTGCGGAAAGAGTTTTACTCGCCTCGGCTAAAATCTTTCCGTTTTTTCAGTTGTAATTTATTTTTCAGTTCAATTGTAATTTTATATTTTTAGATTATTTGTAAGAACTGAAAATTACATATCAGTTCGTAGGATTCCTGTGTAATTTTGACACCAAATATTCAACATATATAATAAAATAAAATAAATTAATTAGATTAATGATGTCAAACGATCATGTTTGTCCATGAAGGTCTGCTTCCATCACTAAACCTCATTATCTTACATTCAATTAGAATAATTGTACCTCCGTCTCAAACGTGTACTCTTCATGTTGGTTTCTTGAATTCATAACACATTGGTCAAACACAAGAATACTTTGTCATCCTTAAAAATGTTGCGTCATTAGATATTTTGTTGTCACTGTGGGGAGTTGTAATAACTAAATACATAGGAAAGTTAAAAAAAAAAAAGATTGTTCATATATTAAATTAAATTTTTTAAATTATAAATTATACTACTTTGAAATATAATGATTCATGTTTGAAGTGGCAAAGGTGGAATTTTGACAATTCTTCTTATCTATGAATCTCAGTCCACATTCTAACATAGTACAGATAGGCTGTGTTTGGTAAATAGCGTTTTGGGTAGCTTTTGACGGTTTCAATCATTTTAGCTGTTTGACCTTAGCAAAAAGCTATTTTATGATGTTTGGTAAAGTGGCTTTTTATGATGGCTTTTTTGATCAAAACGCTAAAATCTAAAACGCTGTAAATGGCAGCGTTTTGCAACAGCGTTTGAGAAAATAATTAACTTATAGCAGCGAAAATTGAAAAAGAAAAAAAAAAAAGAAACGAATGATGTCACAACACACATTATTAAAGCTAAAAATTGACAATCAATTTTGTTGTTTCTTGTGCCACGTAACAGAAAAAAAAAACACTTTATTTGATGTTAATTTTTTATTTGTGTTATTGTAGTATTATTTTTTTATATTTATTAAATGCATTAATGATTTTTTTTATTGTTTTATTTCCTAACTAATTATAAGTTCAATATAATTTATTAATTTTATATGTATTATATTATACTACCTCCTGTTCATTATAAATGTCGTTTTGACTTTTGTGATTCATCCATCACAAAAGTCAAAACGACATTTATAATGAATAGGAGGGAGTAATAATTTTTTAATTTATAACATATAACTACATTAAACATGAATATATTAATTGAAAAACACTTTTTTTACAAACCGCTAATTTTACCAAACACTTTTTTACAAACCGCTAACACAATCAGTTGGTCAAAACAGCTAACACAATCCGCTGGTCAAAACAGCTAATTTAATCCGCTAACAGCTAACAGCTAACAGCTGATTACCAAACAAGGTCTATATCAAAATGGCGCCTTGCGTATTATCTGGTATCAACAAGCGAGGTTTCGCCACTACTCACCTTTAAAATTTATGTAACATTCTTCATATGTTTCAACCAGACTTTACTTAATGCATATATTGTAATACAATAAAATTGGTAATGAATGTTTCCCTCATCATTTCATAAAATTTATGCTCAAATAATGGAAACATTTAGGGTTGATTTACCTTATTGTAGTTTTCATAAATTTTGTATTTTCAATAATTTGATTTTTTTTTTTAGTTACTTTTGTTCTGAGTTATAAGATCTGAAAAAAATAAATAAATGAATAAAAAAAAATCAAATTATCCATAAATAAATTAAAATGTAGAGATTTTTAAATCTTTCCTTAACGTTACCCAACTTGTGTGTTTCATTTCATGTCTAGCGCTCCAAACATCCTGAATCTCGCGCTCCACCACCTGTCACCACATAACCGGTCGCCATTGGCATCTCTCAAGAAACTTGAGCAAATTCACGCTCTTCTCATCGTCTCCGGCGCCGTTTCCCGTTACAATTTAACCAGAATCCTCCTCCACTGCCTCTCCATTCCATTCTTCCCGCCGCCCTACGCTCTCTCCATTTTCGCCCAAATACGCCCACCAGATGTCTTCACCTACAACGCTCTCATCCGAGGCTTCAGCTCCGACCCTCAGAAAGCCGTTTCCTTGTACTCTAACATGCGCCGGGAGGGCGTTCCCCCCAACAAGCACACTTTCCCTCTCCTGCTCAAGTCCAAGGCCCGGATACCCTTTCAGATCTTCGGGCATGCAATCCAGTTCGGGTTCGGGCTCGACCCGTTCGTGAGAAACTCTCTGCTTTCCTCATTTGCCAGCTGCGGACTAGTCGAGGACGCCCACAAGCTGTTTGACGAAATGACTGACAAGGACTTGGTCTCCTATACCGCGTTAATGGACGTGTATATCAAGAACAAACGGGCCACGCAGGCTCTGGATCTATTTCTTGAGATGAGAAGGTGTGGGGTCTGCACGGACGGGGTTGTCGTAGTCAGTGCCCTTTGTGCGGCTGGCATGTGTGGCAGTGTTTGGCTTGGGAAGTGGATACACGGCTTTTACGTGGAGAGCGGGAGAGTGGTGCGGGATGTTTATGTCGGGAGTGCCCTTGTCGACATGTATTCTAAATGCGGGTTATGTGAGGACGCGCTCAAGGCCTTCCAGGACATACCGCATAAAAATGTTGTTTCTTGGGGCGCATTACTCGCTGGGTATTTGCAACAGGAAAAGTTCAACGACGTGCTACTCCTTTTCCGAAAAATGCTGCTGCTCGAAAAACCAAAACCGAATAAGGCCATACTAGCAATTGCCCTTG